ATGCTGGAAGCAAACTTATTGATTGTAGCCTGTTGATGGTTTTAGCTTCCAGAAACCAGCAATGGACGAACGTCACTCAGGTGGCAACACTGCAAGATCTGTTTGCTATGAATGGTTCCTCGCCGCCGGTATTGGAACAATGGAAATTTTGAGAGGTGAAGATTTTAGTCACTAGTGGGCAGCAATGCTGGTTGCTCAATGCACAACAAAAGTGTGATGCTGCTTGTACGTTTTTGCCGTCATTTTTACGGCCCTGACGATCCGAAAGGGTACTAGTGACTTTAAGTAAGCGCAGCAAAAGCTCGGCACAGCGATCTTGAAAACCCGTCAGCACCAATTGAGAGCATTCAACGCCAACTAGACACGCTATGAGTAGTTTTACTACTAAGGTGCAAAACGTTGTTTAGAACGATCCAATGGCCTTATGACTGTTCTGTCAGGCATGAAGTTCAAACGAGGCCTGAGCGGAGTTCTACTTGTCTTCGTCCTACTCGGTACTCAGATGTCAAAATTTTTAACAGGGATATCCTAACGCTTTAGATTCACGTAAGACGAAAACATGGACGGCTTGCACATACAAAGTTAATTTATGAAGTGCTACCACATAGCGCTGATAGATCTCTCGGCTCAGTTGTCAACTTCCTGTCAATCACTTAGCCCAACTTCCAGTACGATGAAGAGTTTTGAGCGATTCCGCGTGGAGATGTCGGAGAGGAGTTCGTACGTGAGTTCCATCAAGCTCTCTCGCCCTGATACCTACGGAGTGCTCCATTCACCCCATGAAGAAGAAGGTCGATGCAGCAATGGCGGAGCTTTACGAGATGGCGGCGCTCCAAGACTTCTTTCAACAGAATCACTCGGTTTGTTGGCTCAATACGCTGCGGTTGGACTCATGATGGGGGCGCTACCAAGTGCAGTGACACCGTTCTTGAGCTACTATTTGAACATGGAAGGTCAGGCCACGACCTCAGCCCGTGCGTTGCTCGGTATCCCATGGTCTGTCAAGGTTTTCATCGGTATCCTTTCCGACTGCTTCCCTATCTGTGGCTTCCGTCGTCAACCATTCATGATCATCGGCTGGATGCTCTGCACGATCTGTCTCCTTGTGATGACTACATTCCCACTGGATAAGCCATACTTTCCCGAAGCTTCATGGAGGAAGATCAAGCCCAGTGACTATACTACTGAAGAAATCGCTGCGATTAACTACCACGCTCCGTCTACGGGAGGGAAATATATTGTCTTGATGATGTTATCGACGCTGGGTTATGTCATAGCTGACGTTGCAGCAGATGGTGTCGTGGTTGAATATGCTCAACGCGAGCCTATCGCGATACGAGGACGGACTCAGACTGCGATCTACACTGTGCGGAGTGTCTTCAGTATTTTCGGGAGTATCTTGGTGGGTTTTGGACTCAGTTCACCACCTTACGGAGGGGATTTCGACTTCGGTATCAGTTTTCCAGTATGTATGTTGATACTGGCAGTGTGCTGTGTGCCTGTGATCCCAATGACTTGGTATTTTGTCGCCGAGAAGCGGGTGGCTACACCGCAATTGAGCAAGTACATGGGGGTATTGTGGGATACGCTGCAGAGTCGTGCAGTCTACCAAGTCATCGCCTACAGCTTCTTCTCTGGAGTATTCGGTGGCATCAGCTACGTGGCTTCTGACCCAGTTACGATGTATTGGGCTCGAGCTACAAGCTTCAACATCTCAGTTTCTCAAATCATAGGATCAGGTGTGACGGCTATCACACTAGCGCTCATGGGACGCTACGGACTGGACTGGGACTGGCGTCACGTGATTGTCCTCACTACAATCGCTGTGGTCGCACTGGACTCAGTGTGTACGATGCTGACTACGTGGGATATCGTGCGTAACGAGTGGTTCTGGCTCGGGTTACCGATTGTGGAGACTGTGCCTTCAAGTGTGAACTTCATCGTCTCGAGCTTCGTGGTCGTCGAACTAGCGGACGAGGGCAACGAAGCTGCTATCTACGGTCTATTGACGACGGTGGGTAACCTCAGTAACCCGTTCTCGGCCACACTAACCAAGGCTATCAACGAACCGTTTGCTGTTAGCAACCGAGATATCCTCAACGACTCGCACTCTACACGTCGAGATGTCACGATAATAGTGCTCATTTCGTACACGAGCAAGCTGCTTTCTCTCCTGTTTCTTGTTTGGCTACCGAGACAGAAGGCGGAGACGCAAGTGCTCAAGCAGTGTGGCACCCGCAGCAAGCTGCTTGGTGGGATTACCATTGCGTACTGCTTATTCGCACTAACCTGGTCGCTGCTCATTAACTTGCTGGGTATTTTTGAGAGCACGAGATGTCTGAAGATTGTAGGAGGATGTTAGGTAAGAAATACTGCAACAGAACACTGTGACAGAGGGACGTTAACCAAATGGTTCAAGACATCAAATGCTGGGATTTCACCAGTGATCTAGTGCTTCGTTGTGCGATGACATGCAAACTCGAAATGATACAGTGGCTGCAGTTGCAGTACCCTGATCTATTTTGAAGTGGTAGCTAGTCTGGAGATTGTGAAATTTCAGAATATAAATCTTCAAGGTAGGTGCACTTCGAAAGCGATGAATTTTGCTGCACTGAATGCTCATTTAGAGGTCATTCAGCGGCGACACGAGATTAGAACACAGGACTGTACAACGAACGTATTGGACTACGCCGCAAGAAACAACCACTTAGCGGTCGTACAGTGTTTGCACACTAATCGAAGTGAAAAAGCAATAGGTGTTCTATCCGACTCCCTGAATATCTCACCACCGGATATGCTTCACAAAACGCTACACGAGGCCCTAACGCATATACGCCAACGGGAACTGCCAAGTACTATATAAGCAACCTCACACGGAACGACGTCTTCGACATCAAGAACAAAAGCAATCAGGCATTTCGAAGGATTCAACATGTATACATGGCACATCACCACTATAAAGGAAGTCGTACTCGTTCAGAATTTGAACAAGTTCTGTTGCAAAGAAACATTGCCAGTCTTGGGAAATGTTACCTGATTCCGTTTTTTCTTCATAAACGTTTCAGCTCAGTAGAACTGGAGCGCTTGGTCTTGTCACTGCCGACGAAATTCTCTACTTTTTGCTGCTGAGAGTTTTATGGAGGCTTGCGTTACATATTCACGCTCTAGGTTCTCAGCATTTTTTCCCCAGATATTAATTGCTGAGAGCTTTGCCGACGTTCTTCTTGTTGAGCACTTTTGCAATATTATTATTGTAGTTGACGACTGATGGCTTCGTTGTGACGAGACCTTTCAGGATTGACGCCCGTCCTCTTTCCTCCCTTGAAGACGAAGGTAGCGATGCCACCGTTCAGACGTCGCTGTATCGGCTGGGTTGTCATCATTACCAGTCTTTATACTGACCTCCGACTCTTGGATTGAAGTAGCACCGTTGGTGCAGCATACCTCGTATACAAACAGCACCAAAGCGAGATAAGCATGATACAAAGTTGCAGGTAAGCTATGAGGTTGACTAACGAGACTTGCGCAATTTAGGTGTTTAGTGGAACTTGTGCGTTGTGGAGGAAATCGTGTGTTTATAATAAATGCACTCCTACGAAAAAAAAACTGGGGACAGGAAGTTCACAAATGCTCAGTGAAAGTTTTGTCCTCGTGCATGCGTGGGTACACGAGGTTTAGACGATCCTTACTATAATAACAAGTTACTAACCAGTATGATAAATATCTTGTTGTGATACTACCATGCGAATCAAAAAGTGCTACGATTCCCGTAATATTGGTAAGTATATCAGTATCTAAATGCCAACCCTTGGACGTATACCCTTACAAAGCCGTGCTGGCGCTCTGGATTTTATTGGCGCTTTTCTATTTCAAGGAGTTTATAAGAATGGATACATCGACGTGGGAAAATGAAGTAAACCTCAGTTAATATGCATTTGCTCGCACTCTTTCTGCTCGAGAACTATCCACCAAGCTAGTTGGTTGATTATTTGTTGCTGTCGAAGCAATATGTAGCTCATTACGTTCGTTGCTAAAACTAATGCTTGGGCTATCACAATGCAAAATGAAGACATTTATCGCCGCAGAGAGAATTTGGCTATCTTTTCACGATAAAACTCGAAAATAGGATTGAAATTTCGCTGGAAGAGCTTCAAATTCTCGACAAGATTTCACGCGGTTTTCCACAATGTAACTTTTATTGCATGTTGCTCGATAGGACTCTGGATATAAAATCCAGTATTGGTAAGTATATCAGTAGTATCTAAATGCCAACACTTGGACGTATACCCTTACCGAGCTATTCAGGGGGTATAATTCTGGTGGGTACTTGCAAAACTGTCAGTTATCTGTACTTGAAGTTTGTGATACTAAATGAAGGATAACTTCCTCTGATAGAGGTGTACTGTAAATAAAAATGCATAGAAGTACTTGATTGCACAATCAAAAGAAGATTTTTTTTTGTTAGGAAACTGGAATTGTCCCAAGCTGGCCGTGTCATAGTACGGCATCGAGACAAACTTATCTTTTTTTAATATTTGCGCTTGCGAGGGTTGCCATAATGGTCCACGTACCATTTCACCACCTCGGGGTTCTTGTTTCCCAATCCAACATGGTAGACGGACGTATTAGACGAAAAATCCGACACCGTGTTGATAAATTCCAGTATGCCAATATAATCGCATCGAGCGGCGCGAATAGCAAAACTACTAAGTAGTTTCTGCTCCAAATGATAATAAAGCCATTTGACAGCCTCAGTGTGTCCGTGCGACACGGCGTTTTCGATCGCCTTGTTCCTCCAGTCCAATTTGTACGACGCATTTAAAAACTTCATAATCTTGAGGTGACCCCCAGCAGCAGCAGTAGTCATTGCGGCTCTCGTGCATCCTTCGCGTCGATTCTCTTGGAGCCATTTCACCATTTCAAAGTGCCCGTTTCTCGACGCCCCGTTCATCGCCGCCTTTGTGCACCCTTCCCTCCTATTTCCATGCAGAAACTTGACAACTTCCAGATGATTGTTCTCTGCTGCTGTGTCCATGGCCTTTTTGGTACAGCCTTCACGTCGTTTTTCATGCAAATATCTTACAATGCCCAGATGTCCATTGGCTGCTGCCGTGTCCATTGTATCTTTCGACCAACTTCCTTTACCGCTAAGATGTAACCATGATACAAGCTTTAGGACACCAGAGGATGCTAGTGTGTTTGCGAAGTGTTTTGGCAGCGCTAATTCAAAGTTTTCATGCAACCATCTCACGCAGTACACCCGTCCATGTCTGTCTGCGTTTTCCATCGCTTGTGGAGTGCATCCCTCGCTTCGATTAGCCTGTAGCCATTGTAGGACGTCCAAGTGGCCATGTCTTGCAGCTTCGTCCATAGCGTGAATTGTACATCCTTCTGTACTGTGGTCGTGTAGCCATTGCACAATATCTAAATAACCGTTTTTCGCTGCTAAGTCCATGTCGCTCGAAGTGCAGACTGTTTGGGGAATGGTATGGAGAAATTTGACAATTTCCAATTTTCCGTGTTCCACCGCCGTATTCATCACATTGTTCGAGAAAAATTCTGGATAATTCGCATGAAGCCACTGCAGTATTTCAAGTTTCCCTTTCCTCGCAGCGTAGAATACCAAATAGTCAGCGAAATCCCAGCACTTTGTATCGTGAACCCACTGCATGAGCTCGATGGATTCCAATGTTAGATATGGTTTGTCCATGATTTTTTCAGGCTTCAGATTGTATATAAAAATGGCAGTATCGAGGTGATTTCCTTCGATTGCACTTTGCAACGATCTTCCTAATGATTTCTCGTCCCATTTCGTGTGTTTCACCAGCCATTTGAGCAGTTTAAGATGACCGCCTTGAGCCGCGTAGCGCAGATTCCGGACGGTATCAGGGAAGAGCTTCACAACCCAGCGGACTACATCGCCACGACCCTTTAGTGATGCGCTGCTGAAAATATTATCTGCACTGTCTGGGGACTGCTTGAACAGTAGAGGTTTGCATTTACATAGCCACTTCAGCATTGGTAGCTCTGCAACATCGATAATACAAGAAACTGCTTCGTAATCCAGAGCACCGGGGTATCGGTCGTATAGCTGCTGCATAGCATCCAATCCACCTTCATCCGATGTCATTGCCCGAGGGATTAGCTGCATTGCGTATCGATACTGGCGCAATTTCTCATGGTGAACCAAGTTCAAACTCTCATCCACCGCGTTTAGTACCCGGGTGAACAAATGCGACTTCCTCTCTTCCAGAACGTCGACAAGCGCTTGTTCAGAGATATTCTCAGTGAACATTTGGATGAGATGCACGATATGTGGTATCACTCTCGACCCGAAACCATGACGACACACGACGATAACGCTCGTGAGGGTAAAATTCTCTTCACTCTCTGTCATTGGGAAACTAGGCGAGTGAGAGGACTCGAGTTATTCGAATGTCCTTGATTGATAGAACTCGACTAATCCACCACACCCAAAATACAATATTTTACCGAAAGGTTCTGACTGCATCAAAGTTTCATTGGGGGCATTTAACGGCATCGCCAAGAAGGACTGTTGGTTGTATATAAGAAAAATGAAAAACAAATATCTGTATCTGGTTCTGTCACAGCTATCTTTGAATCCAGACGGGCGGAGAATACCCAGCACTTTAATTGCTGAGGCCGCTTCTGGAGTCATTGCTGCAACTAATACTTTACGCCACATTGGTTTTGAGATCACAAAGTTAAAAGGAAAAGCCGTGTCGAAAATTACATTAAACCCAAACCACAGCGTAGCCATACTGAAAAAATTGAAGCAGCAATGTAATATCTAACGGTACTTGCTTACAGCTATTAAACGCATCCCTTGTTTACCGAAGCTGGTTGTGTCGAGATCTGCTTGTTCTGCGACGGCAGAAACAAATGTCCTCAGCATCCTACCTCAAGCGCTTTTGTGAGTTACCATAGTGGTCCTCGTACCATTTCATCACTTCGAAATTGATTCTTATTTCGCGACTAGCAAAGAAGACAGACTCGTCGCTACATTGAGCTGAAGCCGTGGCCACAAATCCAGGGATGCCAATAAGATCATTGCGATCAGCACGAGCAGCAAGCGTACTAAGGTCGTTCTCTGGTGCCGCATCCATTGCCCTCTTGGTATCCTCGCGTCGACTGTCGTGCAGAACTTCACCACTTCCAGATAATTGTTTTTCTTTGCTGTATCCATTGCATTTTTGGTATAACCCTCGTGTCGACTTCCATCCAGAAACTTTACGACGTCGAGATGTCCGCGACCGCGTCCATCGTGACTTTTGACCACTTTTCCTTTATCACTAAAATGTAGCCAGGATAGTAGTATCAAACGACCAGAAGAAGCTGATCTGTCTGCATAATAATCTGAGATTTAGGTTATCATGCAGCCACTTCTTCATATGTATGTCACCAAATTTCATTGCTCGGAGAGTGCGTCCATCGCTTCAGTAAGCATTTAAGCCTTTTTGACATATTCCAATGACCATGTCTTGCAGCTTCGTCCATAGCATTAGTCGTGCATCCCTCGGTTCTGTTGTCATGTAGCCATTTCACAAGCTCAAAATGTCTATTTTTCGCTGCTAAGTCCATGACCTTCGAAATGCAGACTGTTTGGGGAATGGTATGGAAAACTTATACAATCTGCAGATTCCCATATTCCGCTTCAGCATCCATAGCAGTTGTTGTAAACAACTGCCATGGATGCTAGGATAATTCACGTACAGCCACTGCAACATTTCGAGATTGCTTGACGAGTCAGCAGAATACATCACAGAGCTGGTGAAATCCTAAAAGTGTTGGATCATGAACCCACTGCATCATTTCTAGGGATCGGATTCGTAGATACGACGTGATCTTGGATCTTACAGACATCAGATTGTACAGGAATTTGGCGACATCAAGATGATTTCTCTCAAAAGCACAATGCAATGCGCTTTTTATGGTGCCTTCATTCTAGTTTGCATATCTTGTCAGCCACTTGAGAAGGCCAGTTTCAGCGGCGCAGGTAAGATTCCACTTATATAGTATCCGGTAGCAACTTCGCCAGCAGCGAACTACATCGCATCAACCTTTTTCTGAGGCCAATCTGAACACTCTGCTCTCCCAGTGGGGAACTCTCTGAGCAGTAGAGGTTTGCATTTATGTAGCTATTCCAGCATCGGTATCTCCGCGGTATCAGTAAACTGCCTCAGAATCCAGAACATCCGGATATCGCTCACAAGTTACTACATTGCCTCCACCCCAGCCTCATCCATTTTTGAAGGTATGAAGCGCATGGCATATCGATACTGACGCAATTTTTTGTCTCGTAGTAAAGCCTGTTTGAACTCTGATCAACCGCCTGGAGTATGCAAGTAAATAATGAGACTTTTCCCTCCTCGAGTACAGTCAACAGTGTTTGTTGTGAGATGTTCTCCGTGAACTTTTGGATAAGATGGACGACATCCGGCAGTCTCGATCCAAAGCAGTGGCGACACACGACGACCACGCTCGTAAGGATAAAATGCTCTTTGTTTCTTGAAAACTTATTGACTTTCTTTGAATGACTGAATTTGACGTCCATTGCATAAAATGGCTACATTCGTTTCCTATGTATTATCATAATTTACATTCAATCATGCGCTTGAGCAGTGTTGAAGTTCGAGCTCCCCCGCTTACTCAACATCTATATGCGGATAAACTCACAAAATCGTACTTAAGGACTGTATATTCATGTTGAATGCGAACAAGCACTTTCACTTTGGAGAACAAGACGTTCAAGCTCTTCAAGACGCTCTTAAACGCGTATGTAGCCATCTTCATTCGTATCCTCTGCTCCTCACTAACCGTCTCCTCCAGACGATGCCTCTCTCTCCTGCGGACCAAGTGGCGTATCTGCGCTCGCTCCCGTCAATCCGCGACGGCTGCCACCGCGTCTTGGCCCTCGGCAAGCAAGACAAGCTGCCCCACTTCTCGGTGGTCGAGAGCAAAGTCCCCGCCTTAGCTGACTACGTCATCAACGTCTTTCGCCAGTCGTATCCAACGCCCAACGAGGCGAATGTCCCGTTCCACTCGCGCTGGCGCCACTTTGAGACTGGCAACCCGCAGCGAGTGGAGAAGATGACGGCAACTTGGAGCTGCGACAAGTTGGAGAAGGCGCGTCGACTATTGGACTTGGCGCTCGTCAGCGTCCTGTTGGATGCGGGGGCCGGACCCACGTGGAAGTATAAGGAACCAGGTACTGAGGACTTCTACAGCCGCAGTGAAGGGCTGGGCATCGCCAGTTTCCACATGTTCCTAGCCGGGAACTTCTCTTCAGACCCGGAGAACGATCCACACCGAGTGGATGCAGCAGCGTTGGCGAACTTGGCTGATGAAGCCATTTCGAAGGCTTTCCAAGTGGTAGGAGATGGCTACATTGTTGATTTTTGATTTGTTGTTTATTATTACTTTTATTTTGTAGACGGAGGAAAACCCGTTGGTGGGGTGTGCTGGGAGGACGGATCTGCTTAAGGTAGTTATTATTTATTGTTTAAGTAGTGTGGGTGATTCTGATAAAAAAGAAATTCTTCTATTGCAGGGTTTGGGGAAGAGTATTGCGAATTATCCAGAGTTCTTTAAGGGAGCAGACGGATCCATTCGACCGGGGAATATGGTCGACTATCTGACGAAGCACCAGAACTCAAGTGGTGAGGTGTCGATTACCGATTTGTGGAAGGTTGTGCTGTATGGGTTGCAGGACATTTGGCCGGCGAGTCGAACTCAAATTGACGGCCAGAATATGGGAGATGTGTGGGAATTGTCGTACGTGGATGACTTGGTTTAAAAAATGAGGTTAACCTCAGTAGTGACAGGTTTATTTGTGATGTTATCGCAGATATTTGCCGGAACACGAGAAGGCCGGAAAGTTTGTGAGCTTCCACAAGCTGTCGCAATGGCTGACGTACTCGCTAATGGAGCCACTCCAAGACGCGGGCTTTAAGATCACAGACCTCAAACTGATGACAGGCCTGCCGGAGTATCGCAATGGAGGGCTCTTGGTAGACTTTGGTGTGCTGGTACCCAAGTCAGCGAGTATTCTTACCGACGAGTTCGATCCGAGTACTGAAGTGATCATCGAGTGGCGAGCGCTCACTGTGGCAATCCTGGACGAATTGCACAAAGTGATCCTTGAACGCCTCAACTTTACGGCAGATTTCTTCCCACTCGTCAAGGTATTTTATTGCTATATTTCTAGTGTTTACTTAGTGTAAATTAATTGTGTCTGCTTTGACTGCTTCAAGATGCTGGAAGGAGGGAGCTGGAAGGCGGGGCGTGTTATCGCCAAGGAGAAAAGGGCCGACGGTGGCCCGCCGATCAAAATTAAGAGTGACGGCACTGTCTTTTAGACAGCAGACAAAGAGAAGCACTCTCTACGATAAAAATTTGGAAAAGGGTGTTTTTGGAGATAAGCTCTAAGATGGCTACAGTAGTGATGTAGTCATTTTATTATCTTACGATGTATGAAGTGAGTCGAAATCGGCCTGAATCTCCTGACTGCTTTTCCCTGACGTCTCCGGTACGAGCTTAAGTGCTAACAGGTAGAAAACCACAAGAAGCACCACAAATGGCAGATACGCGTAGTCATCCAAAGCGTCCGAAATGTATGAGTACGCGACCCCAACGACCAAGTTGCACAGCCAGTTGATACCGATGCAAAGCGACGAGCAGCTTGCACGAATAGAATCTGGGAACAAATCGGCAGTCACGACCCGACCCACACAAGCGGACCCAGAGTCGCTTCGAATGCGATCACATACAAAGCCGTAAAGATAATCGACAGCGCCGACACGTCCACGAGGAAGGCGATGGTCATACACACAGCCATGACGCACATACTCGCGATACCCCACAAGATCATCTGACGGTTGCCAAAGCGGACAGCTAGTGCACCAGCCGCGAAACCAGGGAAGACGTTGATAAAATCGATGATAAGAGTTCCAATGCGCGAATCTGAAATACCAGCATCCGCGAAAATGCTACTGGAATAGTAACATACGGCATTGATACCGGAGAGCTGCTGAGCGCACGACAGTAGAATAGCCGTGGATAGTTGTAGACGGTAGCGTGGAGAGAATAGAGATTCGTTCACTTCAAACTCGTTGGCCTCAGCTAGTTCGGACTGATTGGCTTTGGTCGAAGACTCCAACCAGTTCAGAGCGATTTGCACGTTCTCCTCTCCATAGACCTGGGCAATAATATCCATAGCCTCAGCACGACGGTTCTTCATGAGCAACCACGCAGGGCTCTCTACACACATTTTGGGAGCTAACACGAGGAATAGTGCATAGTGCAGCCAGAATGATCGGGAATCCGGCGAGGTAGCGCCAGCCACTGCTGGTATTGGCGAAGAAGAAGGCGATAGCAGGTAGAAGAATACCCATTGTCACTGAGATCTGGAGACCCAGACCCAGAATATTGCGAAGGTGGGGTGGAGATAGCTCGTTAATGTACGAGCCCAGAGTACCGGTGGCGACACCCGAAGCAATACCCGAGATCACGCGCCCGACAGCGAACGCCCAAATGTTGGAGACCGCAGCTTGAATCACAGCACCGACGCTCATAAAGCCGCAGTTCACGAACAGGAGCTTCTTACGACCCCAGAGATCGCTGAAATGGCCACAGAAAAGCGGCCCGATCATGCCACCGAAAATCCACGCATTCACAGCGAATGTCCACTCCACTCTCGAGTGGCCGGGAAACATGAGGCACATTCCCTCGACCAGGGGCCGCGCATTGCACTGGTCGATGCCGTTATACTGCGTGAGGTTTGTTTGCGATGTCGACCAACCACTTTGTAATGGTTGGAGCAGAGCGACAAGCACGCTCGTGTAGAGGATCAAATTGGGTTTGATATTGCGCTCGGCTTCTTTGTTGAACTCGAAAGAGACCGAGTTGACGGACTTGGGAGTGGAGATTTCGGTGTAGATCTCATCCGTTGTAGTCCGATCTGGTGTCCCTGCTTGCTCCTCGCCTGGCATTATCTTGTGATTCAAGTCTTGAAGAAGTAAAATGGAAAGTGGACAAAGTTTGCAGACGGACATTTAGCATGAGTGAATGAAACGATGCTGTAAACTCTGGCGGTTGATGATCAGGTATGGCGCACAATCCTTTTAAGTGACATCTCAAAGTGAACAAATAGGATACGTTTTTACGTTCTCTCAATAATGCCCGATTCGATCTTTGTTGACGGGAACGTTTCGTCAGATCGACGACTACCGGATAGAGCAGACCTCCTTAAAATTAGGTGCATTACGAATTTAAATAAAATATGCTAAATTGTGGACATTCTCATTTTTATTTTGCTCAAATTATGACCTTCTTTACTTTGTGGCTGTATTAATACTTGCACTACATTGCCTGGGGTACATATCCGCCAACAAATGATGGGACGTGATGGATACGATTCCCACAATTATGTCGGTCTTGGATATTCTACGCATATGCGAGCTGGAGGGCTGGCAGGGAGGATGTGAATTGTTACCGCTAGGCTGCGCTGCATCATTAGGTGTAAATTCAACGTGCATGTAACTTAGTTACGGTAGACACGATCCGGTCGTTCGATGTGGTGTAGAAGTGTGGTCCACATTTGCGCTCACCCAAAATTGCGGAGAAGTGTTTTGTGCATCTTATTTTTCCCGTTTGTGTATTTTGGGACGGCCCCAATGCTCGATTTGTATCAAAGTTTGTTGGGTGTCGATTTTTGTTTACGGGCCCGTAGTTTTGCATAACACATCTCTACATCATATCTGAGGGCGATTGATAGCGGCCTGAAGGATTCTACGAGCTCACAGTGCGTTTTTCGATCCAGCTCACCGGAGTGTAAGTGGTAGAAGACAATCCGAGTTTTTAGAATGTTTGAACATACTATAAGTGGCGAAGTGTCTAATTCAGACCAACAACGACGGCCACCTTGATGAATGGTTTGCGCTAGTCTACGGTAGGAGTGGGCGGTTAATCTTTCTCTAGTGTGAAACAGCTGCAGGAGTCCGCAAACGGTTATGTACTATGGATGGAGTGGCTAAAATATCGGTTCCACCCAATATGGGCTCATAGTTCATAATGGAGGAATCCCGTAAGCCTTGGTGTACACCAGAAAATAACATTGTATTAATGGAGACCAACACCCCCAGATGTATTGTACATGCATTGTACAATAGTAAAGCATTTTGGATACAAGAGCACTTGTGAATGCAAAGGCAAAGGACACAACATGCAACACGGATGCATTGAAATCGCAACCCTGATCCTTACACTTGCATTTGTATTGACCGCTATGGGAATCATCCATTTTTCTATGTTTCATTCATAATGACCATACCATTGGTTTTTACTGACCCTGTGGCTACTGGGTACTAAGTAGAGCGATTGCGTCGGCAAGTACACAAGGAATGTGTAAACAGGTCCCGAAAAGTCGATATCCTTGTCAGAAGGTTGGCACTGGAAACCGGCGAGTTTCTCTATAAATAAATGAATATTAGTTTTAGAGTAGGCATGATCTGCGTAGTCGCACGAGCTTTGGAATAAGTTAATCTCGTTTTCCCTTCAGCTACCTAAAAGATCCAAGAATTGAATCTTGAAGCCATTCTAAAGTTAAAATCCAGAGTGAAACAAGGCATTGTCATACAAGGGACTCGACTCGCTCGTTAACTAGAAAACAAAATGATTTGATTGGAGAGAGATTTTAAATTGACCTATTGGTTTAGTCAAGCATTTCTTTGTTTTATCGCAAGGCTTTATTATTTAACAGATACTGTGGAGATTTACTCGAGCGAAAAACAGAAGCCAGGAGCGACAAATTGTTTCGCTAATAGATGTCAAGAAGTCGTCATTTCGCACCATAACTGCAAAAATATATAATTACTTCAAAATTTAGTTCTAGTATAGCCTCCTTGAGAACTGGGCAAATCGAAACCAATGCCGAAATATGAACTATTCAGTAGCTTGTTGATACATCCTATCATGACCATATCCTGGTAATAAAACTGCACCAAAGGTTCCAAAAGGCAAAAGGTCGCTGCTATCTTTGATGCCTATGCGGATTACAGTTACTAGTATATTGTACGATCGGATTACAATAGAACTAATCTACTTCCAGGTAGTCATGATTTTGCCACCTCGAGATATATTAGAAACGGGTTAATAATGTTATCCTGTAGCTTTAGTTGGAAGAGTACTCCCCGATATCAAAAACAGATAAAAAGCACGCACGCGTAACCTCATTTCCTTGCTATAGATAATCACTTCTCGAGTTGAATGAGTTCAAGATGGCCGTGGCGCGTGCTAACTCGATCACTAAGGTTATTTAGGCTACCTTACTCATGGTAATAGCGGCGACAGGCGAACACATAATCGAGAAATTGACGTCATCAACTAGATACAAGTAGTACTAGTATTTCTTTGGTGGAAACGTGGCATTTTCAGGTTTATCGGCTTCGGTCATGGAGCTACGATAAAATAGCCAAAAAAATGTACATGATCCAAGTTTTAGAGGAAACATCTCTAGCAGAGGTAGAGTACTTGATCATATGTCCATATACTGATATCGTTACCAGAGCAAGAAGTGTCATCGAAGCATTAACCACATCATCCATGCGCTAAATTCAACCTCTGTTACCATAGAGGTTGCCGTGAACGCGATACCACTCCGTCGAAAACCTCTCCGCAATGTCATCAAGCCCTATAAGCTTAGAGTCAGCAACACCTTTTTTGCGTAAGTATTTCAGAGCGTCTTTCAGTAAGTCGGGACCGCCTTTTTTCGACATCTTCGGGAAATTATTCTCATTCCTGGCTTTCGTGAACAAGTCGAGGAGGCGCTTCTCCTTGCTGAATATCTTCACAACATAGTTCCCCATTTCTTTGACGCCTCGTTCTTCATTGTCCAAACCGTCATCTTGGCGCGTTCTCAGAAAGCGGAAACTGTCACGCTGACGATTCTCGACAAATCTGGGCCCAAACTGCACCAAATCGGTTAGCGTCGAAGCTTTCGCTGCCAGCACAGCGCTATTGACCACAAGAAGGGAAACAAGTGCCACTACGAGGGTGATGCACACGCGCATGAGTAGATATGTTTGATTCTACCGGAAATATTGATGAGTGAGAACCCGTTGTGGTGTGAGCTTCCCACGACTTGTGGGCCACAAGTACGTGCCCCCCGACTAGTATTATGTACCAAACAGAGCAGATCCTCCCTTTAGATCATACAAAGTATCTGGTACGGAATCCGTACATTTGCTAGGTACACCAGTGGGGTAAACACTACTTCCTTCGTTCACAAAAATTAGGGACATTTCAGAATGATGGTCAAATCGTCAAGGCATTTTGCCCATATTAAATCCGCCTCCCAGCAGCAGGTCACGGATCATTTTGTCGAGATTATCGCGATCATGCCCTCTGCGCTAGATCTCACATTGTATTGACTAGATACAATATTATCTAATCCACCGATCTTGTAGCGTTTCCAGACCCTGTCCATAAGTGCATATTTACCGATAATACACCTGCAGCCATCACCTTTGCTACATGAGGCTGTTCTCCTTCCATACTGATACTGACACTGCAGTAAGGTGGAACTTCATGTCTTAGCATATGAGCTATTCGAGTGCATGCTTTGGGTGCCGTAGCTACAGTTGCGCGGGCGTGGCGGGTCGAAGATAATGGGGATAGCTGACAGGAGGGTCTTGTGGGACCGACCCTGACGCGAATATGCAGTCATTCGGCGAAACAAAATGGTATGTACGGAATGTCCACGGTTTAAAGCTTTTAATTGGATCAATCCAGACGCAAATCGGATAAGTATTAGTTAATCTACTGTGATTTTTGTCCAAATGTCCCTGATTTTTTTGTGAACGGAGGAAGTACATGATACTATGCACACCTCCCGACGTAGGCGTGGACCAAACAACGCTCGATAAGGGCAATAGTGCACCCTTATTACGTTGCGAAAAATTCGCAATGTGCAAACCGAATCTCGCGCAATTTACATACGGCTTATATATCTGGCAAAGAAATATTTTCATTGAGTTACAAAGGATGTATTATGAATCATTCTTTGCTAATAGTTTGACTTCATTTCATTGTACAATTCGTTTGTTAACAGCTTTACTTGATTTCAGTAGGTAAACATCGATTTTTTTTAAATTTAGCAAGTCCTGATTTTGTCCTTCGGTTTGTCCAAACAAAACCGTCCTACGCATTAATGCCAAAATTTCCATAATACAATTGGCTACGATTCCATTATGGTATCTTGGCATTATCAGGTAGGACATGGTAAACGTCCTAGTGTACTAATTGGCTCCGTTTATATGCACAATACAGTTCATTGAATAAGGGAACTATAGAGAAAGAGATAATAGGAGTATTAACCCCCTTGTCCTACGTAGCTGCCTAGTGTACGCCTAGTGTACGCAGAACGACTATATAACTTATATCTTCTGTCTTTCTACCTCCAACCATGGAGACCGATGTTGCTCGTGCCGCAGCCCGTTGGCTCTAACCTTTGACAATCAACGGGGCACAACGAGGCAGGTGTCTTGGAACTGTTGACCACGTCTGGGAAGTCTGGCGCT